TGGGAGAGACAAAAAACCCAAAACAACCACAGATCCCAAAACGTATAGATGTGATTCCAGATTTGCATTCTTTTTATGTGACGGAGACATTTTTAAAATAATAATGAAAACGTTCAAAGGAATTCAAGTCAGCAGAGTTGGGCAGTAATTAGTTATATTTACTTGAGTAACTTTTTTTTTAGGGGTGGGGGGGAAGTATTTTTATTAGTATTTTTACTACACTTTGCTTTTTACTTTTACTTGTGTAAAATTTCTGAATTCTCTTCCCACTGTGAGAAACTTTACTGAACAAAGAACAAACATGCTTTAATGAAAAATTCACCCCACAGAGACACACACACACACCTGTAGTTACTGGAAAAGTTTCTTAAGTTTTATATTGAAAGAAACAGTTTTTTTTGCCTGACTTTGTTATTATTCTGGCCAAAATGTTCAAATATTAAATGACGGATGTTCTGATCATGACCCAGAACTTGAGCGGTCGCTTTTACCAAATATGTTTTGGGTCATTTCTTGGTCATGGAAACGTTGACGTTGACTCTGATTTGAGTACAATTTTTGACGACGCTACCCACTTTCGCAGGGTATTCACAATCGTTAAGGACTCCTATGTCAACATAAAGTCAAGCAGGATTTTTCTTTTTTTTTTTGAAGAAAAAGAAGAAGTTTCAATTATTTCCAGCCCCACTCCAGCACGCATGGCTCAATCAAGTAGAGGAGCTCTTGAGACTTGGAGTGAGTCCTCAGCACTATTAGCAGTGCTCAGGCGCGACGCGCCTCGGAGTTCATTAGCAAATTGCAGTAACACTCCCCACCCCACTCCACCCCTTGCTCTCTGTGCAATTAAAGACAACGGTGCAAACGACATTCTGCAACATTTCCCTGACTCCTCAAACCGAGCTGGACGTGTGTGTGCCAGGCAAATTGGGCGTGCTACTGCAGTCGTACTCACACAACAATAAGCTGCTAAGCTACTAATATATATATATATATGTAATCTGCAGAGAGAATTTTCTTGCAGAAATTCTCGCTGCAGGAAAATTCCTTCCCAGAGAATTCGTAATTCGTACCTGCAAGAAAAGTCTCTGCAAAACCAGCAAGGAAGGAGTTAAGAGAGTCCAACTGGTGCTAACCAGTCACTCCACTCACATAGCACCTGAGGGGGGTGCTGCATTTATCAGGCTGGTCTGAACACACACACACACATTGAAGCGCACGCATGCACACAATCACACACACACATGCTCGCATGGGGAGAGACACACACAAACATTGGGAGGGTGAGCCCAAACTAGCTGAGCTGCATTCACAAGCCAGCGCAGAGCCTCTGACTTCTTCACCTCTCAGCTATGCTCAGCTTTTCTTTTTGAAAGTGCCGCTCGATCTCCTCTTTAGACAAGCTACGAAGAAACAAAAAGAAGGGAAAAACACAATGCAGAGACACATAAAGAACGAACCCGGAATCGCTCCTATGACGCGGGGATCACGCAACTGAGAAAGTCAGCATTGTGAGATTGGTGAACTTAATAAATTCAAAGTATTTTCTTTTTCCTCCCACTGACATTTTTTTTTTCTTCTCCTCCTTCTGCTACAGTCGCCTTGCTGGAATAAATTGGTTTGTGAATAAATGAGCCCAGTTTTTCCTTCTTGTTAACATTGTTCTTTTGTGCAAATTCACTTTCCAGTCCACTTCAACTTTATGCCCGAGGGCATATATTAAAAATACATATGGAAAGAGATAATGCTTGCACAATGCAAATTTGTTAAGGGTGCCACAGCCTAACTACCACAGTTGAGATGTAGCACAAAAAAGTCATTTTTCTCTGAACTTTCAACATTTTATATATATATATATATATATATATATATATATATATATATATATATATATATATATATATATATATATGATATATATGATTGTAGGAAAAACCATGACGTAAATTTTGGGTAGAACACATTTACAGAGTTTTTTTTTTCTTTTTTTTCATCTCAAATGCATTATGTAGAACTTTTTGTTCAGTCTTTGATAATCAATTAATCATGATTAATTGTTTCCACTCCAATATATATGGCTGCGACTACCATTTATTTTCATTACTGATTTGTCAAGCGACTATTTTGACGATTAAATGAAGCTGAAACTATGCTGCTTGAGTTTTGGGTAAACCACATTGATGTTTTTTTTCTTTCTCTATTACTTCATCTTAAATGCAAAACGTCTACATATATGTATTTTTTTTTTGTACAGTTTTGGCTTAATGACCGCTCTGAGTGTGCTGCTCTTTCAGCAAATGGCTTTCTTTGATTTTGTATAGACCAATAATGATTAATCTATTACTTAATTTGTCGAAGATTACTTCAACAATTGATTAATCATGATTAATTATGGTTAATCGTTTCATCCCTTAAATATATGTAAAAATTTTGTCATGACACTCAGCTTTGTTTGAGTTACAATGCCTGCATAAACAGGCGAGCACCCGCTGCCTGTTTGGATATGCCTATTTGCGCGCGCACACAAAATAAGCTCATCCTTCAACATTGCGCGTCTTTCAGAAAGTTATCTTACATCTTGGTGTGCTCGCAGGTCATTTGTGTTCCTCTGTCAGAGTAAACACAATCCGGTGAGGATCCGTCCTGATTTGGCTGCACGGGGACCATCATTATGTTAAAATAGGCCACGTCTTCATACAGTCAATTAAAGATGTGCACGCGTGCCCCCGAGCACAACATCATTTCCTTCATATACCTCAAAACCCCAGAGTTTTAGCTCGCTATTTGCACATCTTGCGAGCCGTAGAGCTTCAGTCAATCCTCTGACCTATCTATTTGAAATCATAATATGAAGGAAATCCCCTCCGAACGCTGAATCCCTAGGAGAATAGGTGACAATGCTGCTCAAAGAGACACTTAAATGCACAAGTGGCGTTCTGTGTTATTTAATTATGTCACTGAATTAAATGAAGTATTATCTTCCACCGTGATCTCTCTCTCTCTTTCTCTTTCTCTCTCTCTCTTTCTCTCTCTATTTCTCTTTCTCTCTCCTTCTCTCTCTCTCTGTGTGTCTCTCATTTCCATAGTCAGACATAAGGGCCAGGGATCGGAGGAGCAGTGCATGCGCGATGGGGCGTGAGGGGGGGGGAGGAAGGGTCTTCCCTGTCGGGCCCCCAGTCTTCTCCCAGTCCTCCCATTCAGTCCAGAACATAAAAAGCCAGTGGCTGCCCCTCTCCTCCACTCAGACCAACCACTCAACCATATGGAAGTCTGTGGATTTAAATTATTTAGTCTAATCGCTTCATTACTTTTTATGTAGGACTATCCAGCTAATCCCTTTAATTTGGACACTTGATTCTCACCCCCAGCCCCCTCGCTGCCATCTATAGGTTATAGCCTCTATTATCATAAGCCCCTTTAAAACTCTGGGATATTTTATTTAACTCGTTCTCGTCTTTAGAGGCTAAAGATGCACCCGTCAGGTTTGTCCTGGCCGGAGCCAATTCTTGGTTTTCTTTGCGAGACCAGCCAGTTATGATTCATATGTTTTGGTCTGAGACCTAAAATGCCGAGATAAAAGTTGTAACGCCAACAGAAAATTAAAGATTCACAACATAAATAAGATAAGTGAGTTTTCCTAAAATATAATGAAATAAATAAATTAAATTAAATAAAATAAAGAAATAAAACAATGTATCACCACCTCATTGTGACAAAAATCAGACTTAGGCAAAAAAAGAAAAAAAATTACTTTTGGCAAAAAATGACATCATTCAGTGTATTTCTGTAGCAGTAATTCAACAACAACTGTTGTCTTGAGGCCCCTTACAAAAAAATAATCATTTCAGTTCAACTAGACATACATTCCAATTGATCCTTGCTATACAACAGGTCAGTATGCTAAAGTAATTCTCCAAAGCAGTTTAAAAAGTTTCTATCTAAGGAAACCCAGCAGATTGCATCGAGTCACAAACTTGCATTGTTCTCGAGTTACTTTTGAACATCGGCTGTTCCAGCGACCGGCCCGACAGATCGGTGCGCCTCCTGCTGCGGCCTCATCCAGCTCAAACAGACCCGCGCTATTAATAGCAAACGTCCAGATTTGCATAATTCTAATCATCAGTTACTGTTATCATTATTTAACTGCAGTGTACGGACCATTAGGGTCATGCGTGTGAGCATGCTTGTCCCCAGAGTCCCAACAGTCAGCAGAGCACATAATGAAGGCTGCGGTTATCTCTGATATCTGCACAAAAGGAAACACTTCCTAATCTACCTTTTGATACCACCAATCGCTTCTATTGTTTTGTTTTTTTCCAAATAAACCTTCCTATTGGGGTAGAATCTGTGCAGAGTAAAGGACAAGCAAAGGAAAGGAGAGGAGAGGACGGGGGTCCCGATAAGCAATGTGCACTCATGTCTAAGGAAAAACACTGACAAGACGAGTAATGAACCGTGAACCCTACAGTGGAGAAACCACAGTCTGCAGCCCCACAACGCTGCACTCTCCTCTCAGCTCCACGTCACCCAGGAGCTTTGCTTCATTTCTGGTGAGGGGTGGAGGGCCGGGGGCTGAAAGGGGGCAGGCGGCGGGGAGGGGGGGGGCTTTCCAAAAAAGAGAGAGAAAAATGAAGAGGGGCTCTAAATTAAAATCGACATGAAGCAGGTCAAGTTTACGGCGATTCTTTGGCGAGGTAATCTCCTCAGGTCGGTTCCGGGTTCATGTCTTAATGGACCAATAATAGCAACATTATTCAGATTTTTCTTCTTTCATTCCGATGGACGGAATGTAAAACGGGCTTTAATCATATGCAAATAACAGAAGAGTGAGGCAGTGACCCAGAATAGCTGAATAGCCAGCAGGGAGAGAACACACACACATGCATGCACGCACTCACACACACACACACACACACACACACACACACACACACACACACACACACACACACACACACACACACACACACATACGCCGTTACAGATGGAGAGACGCAGCTTACCTGGTCCAACGCCACCGATCTTGTGATTTCCTCGTTGTCTGACTTGGAGCCCCCCTCTCTGTCGTCTATCACCAAGTCGATGGGCATCTTGCCTTTCAAGCAGCTGATGTACCGGTGACAGAAATTATCACACAGCTCGTGTACCTGCAGGGAGGGGAGAGGGAGGTCACACAGCAGTGCCATGATTAAAAAAAAAATATATAATATATATATATATATATATATATATATATATATATATATATATATATATATATATATATATATATATATATATATGTGTGTGTACAACACCAACAAAAATTTCAGGAGGCAAAAAATCTGCAATAAAACTATTGAGCACTGTAAAAAAAAAAAAAAGAAAAAATGGTTTTGTTGTTTTAACAGTGACATGACAAACATTTCTGCAGTGGGGAAATAATGCGGCGTTGATTCGCAGCACTTTCTGGCACGAACCACGTTATTAACCGAGCAGAAAAGCAACTACTGCACAGTTTTGAAACGATGTGACTTAAGGGAAGCACATTTGAATTTGTGATAATCCTTCCAGGTTTACATGAGCTTAACACGCCTCGCTTGTTATTCACTTTAATTCAAAACTGCAAGACAAGCGTGAGTTATTTCACCAATAATCAGTGAAAGGTTTGGCTCTATTTTTGCAAGCAATTGAAAAAATAAAAAGAAGAAGAGTCAACTTTCAACACTGATTTCTGCTGCTGCTGCTGCTGCGTGACTTTCATTTCTCTCCACTCAAAAATAGAGATATCGTCGAAAATTGACAGTGACAAGAGGGGCTCAGAGGCTACAACGCACTCAACACCCGTGCTAAATTCATCATCGGTGCCCCGGGTAGTGGCCATTAAGCCGCGGACGACCCGCTTGACTGACATTTAAGGTAAAAGCGTTTAACGTCGCCTCAGAAGGGCTGCAGCCTCCCTGCTTTGGGGTGACGCGTCCCGACCCCAAATCTCAACTCTCGCAATCTGAGCGCGAGATCTGCGTGCAGATTGGAAAATAAATAAATAAATAAATAAATAAAAGCGTAGTCTTAAATTCTCAAAGTAAAGGTTGACGGCGGTCTATGTGATACTGAAACAAATTAGACCATATCACACTCATCGCTTGGTCTGCCCACAGATGGCAGCCTGAGGGCCCTCTGCCCTCCGCAAAGAATCAATTCTGGGAAGGAAAAAAAAAAAAAGAAGCCGCAAAGTTTGCCTACATGTTTCACCTTGCGCGCAGTCGCTTGCCAACATTGAGCTTCATTAGAGATATTTGGGCACAGAAGAGAATCCGCTCCAGTTGTAACAGCTTGTGCTGTGATTAAACTACGCAAGGCAAAAGGAAAGAAGAAAAAAAGACCCAAAAAAAAATGGCCGCATGATTGATTTCGACGCTAATTATAACCGACTCGCAAAAATACATTCATGCAGATACAGCCCATATAGGTCTGAAGAGGCTTGCTGGACAGAAAAAAAAAATAATAATAAAATTGGTGATGATGATATTACCTTCTCCAGCTCCAGAAGATGAAATCGTAAAACCTGAATGGCTTGAATCATCTGAAAAATTAAAATAACAATAAAAAAATAAATGAGCACTTCACATCTCTTGATATTAAACACGCGCGTTTTTTTTTTCTCAATGCAAGTGGCTGCAGATGAGCGAAATATTCATACGAGTGGATTTTTTTTTTTTTTTTATGTGGGAAGTGATATTAAAACTTGGACGTTATTGCAGGGTGGGAAGTGCAGGAGCGCAGACTGGAGCTGCAATAAGCCTCAGAGTCAGAGATCTATTAGCCTGCGCTCATCTAATCTGATTAAAAAAAGAAGAGGAAGAAGAAGGAAGAGGAGGAGGAATGTTGCTACAGGATCACGTTTAAAACATCAAGTGGTTTAAGAAAAAGGCTGAACAGAATAACTTTGCTGAGTTCAAACGCAGCGTGCTAACAGCGGCCCTTTATGTGCACATACAACCAGGGGCGGTCATCATATCAAACAGCACAAATGGCGGGGGGTGGGGGGGGGGGGGGGGTTAAGATATGATCTGCAATCCCATTTTAAGTTTTCAGCACCACGTGGCTCTGCGGCGCACGGGCGCAGACGTCCCGACAACATCCAGAAATGCCGTCTGAAATGTGCGACGTGTGACAGCCGGGTTTCTTACCAGATTATCCAACTCCGGGTTTGACGAGAACAGAGGCTTTTCTGCCCGGATCTGCAAGCAGAACGAGCGCTTTCAGAAAAGGCACGGACATAAAATAGGTTCGAGTGCGATCAATGGTGCACAGCAAAAAGAAAGAAAGAAAGAAAGAAAGAAAGAAAGAAAGAAAGAAAGAAAGAAAGAAAGAAAGAAAGAAAGAAAGAAAGAAAGAAAGAAAGAAAGAAAGAAAGAAAGAAAGAAAGAAAGAAAGAAAGAAAAAAAGAAAGAAAGAAAGAAAGAAAGAAAGAAAGAGAAAGAAAGAAAGAATAGAATATTTGCACAATATTTGCGCACAGCTGAAAACTTTAATTATCTTCTATCCGTACAAAAGTTATAAAGCAAGAGGCACTTAGTTATAGGAGCTCAACCGGTGTCAACATGCAGCGAAAGAAAACAAGAAAGAGAGAGAAAAAAATCGAACTTTTTTTAAATTTTATTTTATTTTATTTATTTATTTATTTTTTGTTCTGACCTGCTTTGCAAACACCGCTATGTCTTCATTGAAAGATTCCGACGAACAGACGTCTCCTCCCGCCACCCCGGGCTCTCTGGGGGTGCAAGTCGCTAATTCACATTTCTCAAAAATCAGTGCAAGCAAGGGGAACAGGGGGTGCCTGGAAAGACACACACACACACACACACACACACACACACACACACACACACACACACACACACACACACACACACACACACACACACACACACACACACACACACAATAGCAAATGTCACCAGAGAGAACAGCGCCGGGGTCAACACTACTCCGGGCTATAAGATGTAGCCAGCCGTGCGGCTACAGCCTCTTTCCCCTTTCCAAAGCTCTTGGCCCGTGGGGACTGCCGCTGCCGCTGCCGCAGCCCGGTGCGCCTCTTCCCCCCCTCCACCCCCCCTATCACCTCCTGTTTATGCGCAAAGAAGAGCTGCAAATAACGAGGGGACTCCTTTGACTAAATCTGCTCTGCCTCTAATAGCATAAAAGTCTGAGAGTCTGTCTAACAATTTAAAACACAAGGTCTCCTGTTTGGATCTCAGGCGTGTGTGATCCACTATGTGCTGTTGCAATAAGCGTGTGTGTGTGTATGTGTGTTAATTGCTTATATATATATATATATATATATATATATATATATATATATATATATATATATATATATATATATATATATATATATATATATAAACATATAAAACAATAATAAAAAAGTGTAGCTTTAAAACGCTGTTAAGAAAACTTCTATCTACACATATTGGAATATAATTTTTTGTCTGTGTCCAAATAAATGCTCAGTCAGAATGATGAGCAGCGATTGCTCAGATCAAACAGGGGAATTGCTGCTCCTTATGCTAAGAGTTGCACCGAGACGGAAATAAAAGGAGCAACTCGTTAACATACAGGCTGTTACAAACGAGAACAAGAAGTTTGGCAAACGTGGAGTTTAGCTGCAAACGAAGGGGAAAAACGTGATGCGGACATTTAAAGCGACAGTACATCCCAATTGTAAACCTAAACACCCCCCTCTCCGCCCCCCATTTATGTTTTCAGAAACAACTCGCCTAACTCTCTAAGTGCACATTTTTCAGAGTGCATCCAGCACCAAACACGCTCATCGTTACTCTCTACACCAAAAAGAAAAAAAAAAGACAAAATGATGATAATAATAATAATGATAAAGATGTCTCCTCTCACCCAACTAAATTTTATTTATTTTTTATTTTTTTTACACCCGCCAGCTCGCTCCCGCTGCACGCGAACGCCGGTTCGCACCTTACCCGTAAATGGCGTCTTTATCTCTCTTGAGAGCGTCGTTGACGGAGGAGCCCATGCTGGGAGGCATGGAGTTGGTGTGCGCCGTGTGCGGGTACTGGTGGGAGTGCAGCTGGGGTCCGTGGTTGAGGTGCACCGCCTGCATGGAGCGGGCGCCGTGCGGGTCTCCGTACATGGTGGTCGGGATGCCCACCCCGTCCATCCCGTAGTGGGGCAAGTCTTCGTACTGCACACAACAAGCACGCAGTTGAAAGAGTGTGTGTGGATGGTGTGTGTGTGTTGCGAGGGTTGTGTGTGTGTGTGGGGGGGGGGGGGGGGGGGCGATGAACCCGAGTAAAAGCAGAAACTTTAATAGACAAAATATCCAATGTGCTGCGTTTGACATTTTAATTACTAAAAAGAAGAGAAAAAAAATAGTTTTCAACAATCCTCAAGGACAGGGGGGATTTTTCAGGTTATTTATATATTTTTAAACCTATTTAAAAATATATAAATAAATGTGATACGAGTGCTGGATATCGACACTCCTATTCAGACATGCAGTGATGAAGAGCTCGGGGTTTCCAGGTTATTCCCGCTCAGGAGAAAAGTTTGCAGGCCTGGAGCAAAAAGCTACAATGGAGAGGGTTTTTTTCCCCCTCTCAGGTCAATGATGGTGACTCTTAAAGCCCCCCCCAAAAAATCACATTGATTTAAAAAAAAATGTTAAATAATAATAATAATCAAAAACATCAGTAACGTGGCTCATTGAGGATTTTGTCGAGTTGTTGGTTTTTGACAAACATCAGCCTGTGTTGTTGTTTTGTTTTGTTCTTTTCCCCCCTTTTTACTGTGCACCAAGTCTCTTAAACAAGTTCACTGCGTCGCTTTCTGATTTTAAAGGCTCATAATTTGGCCTGCACGCTTAAAAACAACATGCACGGTGCATGCACGTAAAAACGAGTTGTGTTTTTTTCCCCCCCACTCCACAAGAAGTCAACCTAAATAATTCTGCTTTGAGCTGAACGTCTCCTAGTCGTTGCTTTAAAAAATCAAACACGCAATCAGTTCATTGGAAAACCTCGGAATTAAAATATAAGCTGATTTTTTTATTTTTATTATAACTATTATTTTTAAAATGAAAGTTGTGAGGGTAGTTTCTTATTTAGCAGACTGAAAAGTGGGGTGTGTGTGTGTGTGTATGGGGTGCATGTGTGTGTGTGTTGGGGGGAGAGAGAAAAAGGGTCTGAATTATTGATGGTGCTCTCAAGACGTGACAAACAAGTGTCGGGGAGAGAGTAAAAAGCATTATCACTTAAAGCTGAGCGTTTCGACCCTAAAGGCAAAGAGGTGCAAACCCCAGCGTGGTGCAGGCGCAGCGCAGTGCCAAACTAAGCAGCTAAATGGGTCCGCTTCCCACAACACCACCGCGTTCACACCCTGGAGTACCTTTATCCGGATCAAGCCAACCTGACTACAAATAATAATAATAATAATAATTATGATTAAAATAAAATTAAAAAAATAAAACAAAAAACAACAACTTTTAAGCGCGATTTTGGGGCAAGAGCAAAAGTTTTCCTCTTTCCCCTCCGTGCTGCAAATAAATCAGAGCAGTAGATATTGACTCCAAAAACTAAGCGGGGAAAATGCGTGGATTTGTTTTTGCCTCCACCACCACCACCACCCCCACCCCCTCCGCCGTTCACTTCCAGTTACCGGCCTGTCATAACTAATCTAAAAAACATAGCCCGATGAGAGATATAATCGCGCTCCCAGCGTCCCGCGGTGGGGCCGGTTCGTGGAGCGCGGCCGTGCGCAACACCGTGCCAAAAAAACAAGAACGCCAAAACATTACATTTTGTCGTTTTGGTCAGGAGGACACGCGGGGCAGAAAGTTGTTTTTTTTTTTGTTTGTTTGTTTGTTTTTTGTTTTTGCAGCCGACCGTGGGTCCGTGTGCGCGGGTACCGAGCGTCAATGAAACCACGTTACGGACTTCAGAGAAACTTTTCTTTTTTCTCTCTCTCTCGTTTCTGTCAGGGGAGGATTGCCCCTACGTACCCGTTGCGCCATAACCCTCCTCACTCCCTGGTCGTCCTTTCAGTTCGGGTAAATCCCCTCTGAGGCCAGGGTGGACGCGGGGTTAAAAAAAAAAATAAAAAATACAAGACAGAAGGGAAATCCAAAACAAACGAGAAGAACTCTCGGCACACAAATCCCGAGTTCGTCTTTCGCTCTTCTTTGCTGCTGCTGTTTCTTCTTTTTCTTCTTCTTCCACGGAGTGGTGAAGCAGCTCCCGCTTCGCTCTCAGTGCAAGTTCAGCCCGGGCGCGGCGGATACACGTCCTCGGCTGTCCTCTCGGCAGCGGCGCCGGGGCTCCTTTTTTCCCACCCCCGAAAAAAAAAAAAAAAAAAAAAAAAAAAAAAGCGGGGTTGAAACAAACCCCCTTTTAAACAAAACTGTCCACTCTCATGGCTCTTTCTTCTTCTTCTTCTTCTTCTTCTTTCCTTCTTTTTCTTCTCCTCTCTCCTTCTCTCTGTCTTGCCACTCCGACTTGTCAGTCACAACGCGAGGGGGGCTTGTCAAAAGTAGCGGATGAATGATGGATCCGACGCGCGTCTCCACGGGATCGGCACCACCTCAACGCCTGACGGTTCACGATCGCCCGTTAAAAAACGAAGCAGCTCTCCTCTCGTTTTCTTTGATCACTCTCGGCTCCCGGCTTGATTTTCTTATGCAAAAGCGTCTAGAGGAAGATCAAGAGGAGGTGGGGTGATAATTCTGGCTTGGGCTCTCTTAAAGGAGCCACGATCGATGCTGCGCGCGCGCGCGCGCGCTCGGGGGATGGAGAGGGGAGAGGGAGGGACCGGAGCGGCGGCGGTGGCGGTGCGCGATCGCGTCCGCCGGAGCAGTGTGCGCGGTGGTCGCGTGTGCACGCGTGGAGCCGCCTCGGCCGCTTCGCGCACAATGGGGATGTTTGTGCGCGTCTCGAGCTTCGAGGAGGAGCGCGGAGGATCTGGACCAGACTGCTGAAACCCGGAAGTAGCGGTGGCCATAACAGGTCGCGTCTTACACAACGCACCGGGCTGCAGCAAGTGGCGGCAGAGAGGAGGGGTGGGTGGACCCTGAGAGAGGAGCGGGGCCAGCCGCTCTGGGATGAACATTAAAATATATATATATATATATATATATATATATATATATATATATATTATATATATATATATATATATATATATATATATATATATATATATATATATATATATATATATATATATATAAACACTTATAGTCTCATCCCCAAACACTCAGTTTGTCTTTAAAACATGCAGATTTTCTGCTGCTGACGGGCTCATAATCCACTTATGGAGCTCGTGAATAGTTTATGGACGACTAATGAATCCAGCCTTTAATTTGGTGTAAGTTATTGTCAGGTGCCGCAATCAAGGGCCCTGATTGTAAACACAGGGTTTGTCTGTTTCCCCAAAGTTTCACGAAAGTAACATTTCGACGGTCCGTCGTTACACTGTAAAAAATGAATTCTTGGAGGCTGTTGAACACGGTGTTTCACTGAAACTGTTGCTTCAGTCGACTGCTGTTCTCACTCGTCCTGGGTCTGAGGTATGAAAGGAAAAACCAACTCGGGACAACAACACAGTGCCTTAACATGTGACGCTTTCTGTGTTGGAGCAAGACGTCAGTTTGCATCCCGCGTTCAGCAACAGCGCTAACGCTTCGTGGTCAAAGTTGCTAACAGGTTGAGCTAATCTCTGCAGCCGTCTTCAGTGGATGATTTCTCTGAATCTCAGAACGTCACTTTATTCCAACTTTTCAAGAGCACTCTTCAAATTTGTGCCGCTTCAATACCTTTTCGGCTTCCGCTAGCTTAGCTACAGGGCTAACGCTAAAGTTGACGTCGCTAGCAGGCTGGGCGCTAGCAGTAGGCTGAGCAGTTCTGATTGGTTCATTCTAGCCGAGGGAACATTAGCGTTCCCCCTCTAAGGAATACACTTTGAAAAGTTCAGCTCCATTTTGCAACTTTACTTTAAGACGGTTTTTCAAAACGTCTTAAAGTAAACATGACGTTTTATATCTGAATTGCCATGTTTTGTTGTGACCACTGGAGGACAAACCGGATTATCAAAATGATCTTAATTGGAAGCCAGTTAATTCAGTGGAGCGAGTAAAGGTTATTTGGAGTCATCATCAAAGTCTCTCCTATAGTGTCTCCTATAGTGTCTACTATAGTGTCTACTCCGGGAGAGCTTATTAAACCCTACCGCAAATTATTACTTCAGTTTTATGGGTGAAATTCCAACAGTTTGTTTTATTAGTGTGCTCCATTTGCGGACCTTTCCCTCCACTCACTCAAACTATTCGGATTAATATTAATATTAACCTTGGAGCAAACTTGTGAAAATGTGCACAAAAAACCCCAACAACAACAAAACAATTAGAATTTCAGTTTCGGTCTTAATCTTAAACTGAAGCAGCGCAAACTCTTCGTGAGCGCACCTTTTTAGGGCTGAGGCGCAGCTGATGGTGTCCGCTCCCCCGCAGCTGCGCCGAATGGGTCGCTCCACTCTGCGCGCTCTGTCCAATGGCAGAGAGGCGCAGGGCTGGCAGGGGGTGGGGGCTCCCCCTCACCCCTCTATTGGCTCTGTGTAGCGTGATCGATCAGAAGTTGATTGATCGAGCGCAAACTAAAAAAAAAAAAAAAAAAAAAGGAAAGAAAAAAGCCGTTTGCGGAGAGAAAACACACAACTTTGCGCCTCCGCCGGTTTCCACAGTGCTTAACTCAATTTAAAAAGCAAATTATCTGACCAAAAAGAGTCTCTGTGTGTTTCTCTTTCAGTCTAACACGCACACACACACACATACACACACACACACACACACACACACATACACACACAAAATATGTGTGTGTGTATATATATATATATATATATATATATATATATATATCGTTATTTAGTTATTTTTTTGTTTCAAAACGTCTTAAAGTAAACAAAGTTAAACTCTGATTATGTTGCAAAATGTGTGCATTTGAAGTTAAATGAGTTACTAATTCACTTTAAAAGAGAACCTGACTGCTTTGCGCCAAGTCGCCTTCCTTGCAGAGGTTCTAAAAGTTTTTTGGTGAACATGAATGAATTTTCAATGACGGTGCGAAACGTTCCGTCATTATTTATAGCATCATCAATGCCGTGTGCTTTTAAATGACTAAAAAAAAAAAAAGAAGAAAAAAAGAAATTGCTAAAAAAAAAAAATCTGTCTCGTCAGATCAGATTTCTCAACAGTAACTTATTCAACCTTTCTAAATTCTGTTTATATATATATTTTTAATTTCACTCCAGTCAAGACATTCTCGATATTTGCATCTAAAAAAAGAAGCCAAAACAAATAATGAGATTGTTCAAGCACATGACGAGTGTTTACGAGGACAAAGATGGATGTAGAGCTTCCAGAAATGACCAAAAATGATCAAATGTTCCATATTCATGCATATAAGTAACATTTATCTGATCTAGCTGCAGAGTCTTTACGCATCTCTTCCTCCCATTGCTTTCTTGTGAATGAACACAGTGTGAGAGCAGAAGAGCCCCAATGTCCCCCCGATTGAGCTCAGAAGGTGTCGTTTTGTCGGTTTGAAGTTTTTTTTTTCTTCTTTTCTTTCCTTCTTTCTGTTTTTCTCCCTCCCTCCTCCCCCTTCGCCCAGGAGGGTCCAGCCATCGATCATCTGCCCCCCGGTGCCACCGCCGGTGTCACAACATGGATAATGCGGCTTCACGCGTTCGGCGCTGGTTCCTGAGCCACTAAGTCCCCGCGAGCGGTCGGATCCGAGGGGATGATGTTTACGGGCATAAAATGACCGGTTTAAAAAAAGAAAAAAAAAAGAAAAAAAGGACAGGCTGCTGCAGTCCGGCCGGCGCGCGGCTCCTCCGTGGAGCGGTCAGGCGGCCAGAGGATCCGCCGCGGGACTTTTACGCACTGAGAAAACGCGGACCAACACGTACAGCGACTTGTTGTTCTGTTTATTTCAGCTGTTTGGCCGGTGAGTATAACGCTCCATCTGTTTTTTATTATTATTATTATTATTTTAACGCAATTATAAATAATTAATTACACACTTTTAAAAAATCACGTTCTTTGTAGGAACATTAATTTAAAAAGAAAACAAATAGACGCTCAGATTTCTATCCCAGGCGATCGTGACATCTTGAGCGAGCCACTGAGAAGGAGTTGACGTCAGTGGCCGCTGACTGTAAAATAACATTATAAAGCAATTGAGCTCCTTCAATTAGCGTCCATAATAATAATAATAATAATAATAATAATAATAATAATAATAATAATAATAATAATAATAATAAAACGAACTGGAGCGCCGCCGTCTCTCCTGGAGCTGCTCTCTGGTGAGGGTCAGTGCGTTTGTTTTTTTTTTTATTTTTTTGGGGGTGGCGGGGGGTGGTTAGGGGGTCCTTAAAGAAGAGCGCGGAGGGCAAATACCGTCACTTCGGTTTAATCCGCTTTGCAGTGACGGTAATGCATTGAGTCGCTTCAATAAAATCACTGCGTATTACTTTCAAGTGGCTGGATGTAAATTGACAGCAGCGCGTTTGACCCGGAGAAACAAACGGGGGAAACGCGCTCTTGGTCAGACGGCCCCAGACGTCGTGCTCGTGCTTTCCTGCGTTTGGACACAATGAAGGGTTAAATAGGGAAACAACAACAACAAAAAGCCTTCTGATTTATATATATAGATATAAAAACCCTCTGTGTTCCATGTTGATATGACCTTAAAAAAAAAGAACTAATTCCATTGTTCAGTTAGAGATGCAGACTTTTAGCAGGAAAAGATGACACTTTTATTCATTTATTTTCGAAATCACCAAAACTCCTAAGCAGTCAGGAGTTTTAGGGTGATGTCCGGAGTTAGTTCAGGCACAAATGGCAGCCTCCCCCCCCCTCTGCCCCTCACCCTGCAGAAGTCAAACTGAGGTCAAACTCCTAGCAGCCCGCCAGCTCTGCGCCTCAAACAAGTTGGAATCTGAAAAATGTAAAAAAAAAAAAAAAAAAAAAAAAAAAAAAAAGAAAAGAGAAAGAAAAGGGCACTGCAAGTCTCTCTGGTTTGTGTCACCGCTGCTGCACACATGCAGACCTGCTGCAAAGTTTTCACACTTGATCTAATTAGGTGCAACTACCGCAGCCATGTTCTCGCCCTGCACGAGCTTCGCGTTTGGGGATCATTAAGGGCGCATTTGCGCGCGCGATGTGTGTGTGTGTGCGTTTGCTTTATTTGCTTTTTTTTATTTTTATTTATTTATTTATGTTTTGTTCTCATCAACAGCCCCGTTTTTATCCAGAGGGCCATGTTGCTTTGTGCAAGCAAATGGTTTATTCTCTGTGTTTTGTTTTTTTATATATCCAAGTTGGTGTCAAAATATTACAGCTCATACGGCATCAATAATTTTTTTAATCAGAAGGAGTTGTTGTTATTATTATTATTATTATAATTTTGTAATTTCAGGAATTAATTTTTTTAAGTACAAAAATAAGCTGTTATATGAAGTGAAGTAATCCTGATTGTTTTTTTATTATTATCTCAGCTAAGTGGCAGAAATTCTTGTTAGTGGAAACAAACGTGTTTGTGTGGCTGCCTTTAAGTTTTTGCACTAAAAAAAACAAAACAAAACAAAAACAAAATCACGTAACGACGCTCTAACCCTGAAGTCAGCCACCGTCTGTAATAATCCGGGGCTCCTCTTTAATCTGAGGTTCTGCTCCCTCCAGCTTTGGCCAAAGAGGTTCATCCGAGCCGCTCCTGCCTCCATCACACGTTAATGCTTAATCATTTGCGCCTTCTACCGGCTCTTTTGGAAACTGCACGCATTGTCAGGCATTTCAATGAGGCGAGCACAGGAGGGCGAGAGGCTTGCAATGTTGCTCTAAATGTCGTTTTGACGAGTCGTTATTTGCACGTTTATCAGCGAGGAGTGAAAAGGCGGTGCG